AATAAATAACCATCCGTACTAGTTGACATTGCTTATGTGATCATCTCGGCGAGCATTTCTCCATCGGACGGCACCGTACTTGGCCACGGAAGAGCTCCGATTCTACGAGTAAGGGAACACGGTCTTCCACGACCGTTGCCGCTCTCCCTCGTAGAATCAAAGCTCCTCCTTGACGTCCGTTACCGCTCGGCAGAGAACATGCTCGCCGAGATGAACACGGTCCGCAAGTTCAACTAGTACGGATTTTCTATAATTTTCTAACTATTTTCTAAGTTTATATATATATATATACTACGTTTGGGTACGGTGATTGACAGACTACTGCGACGATATCGGGACATATGAATAAATAACCATCCGTACTAGTTGAACTTGCTTACGTGATCATCTCGGCGAGCATTTCTCCACCGGACGGCACCGTACTTGGCCACGGAAGAGCTCCGATTCTACGAGGAAGGGAACACGGTCTTCCACGACCGTTGCCGCTCTCCCTCGTAGAATCAAAGCTCCTCCTTGACGTCCGTTACCGCTCGGCAGAGAACATGCTCGCCGAGATGAACACGGTCCGCAAGTTCAATTAGCTACTTTAACCTTATTTCATGTAAATATGCAAGCTTGAAGTGATTTTGAGCTCAAATTGCTTACAAATAAAAAAAACCACAATAAAGAACCATATATATATATATATAGTGAACAAAATGAGATAAGACAATGGTGAAAAATGAGAGTATGAGATTGGTAACCTTTACAACTGAAGAATCGACGGAAGAATCGAAGAAATCGACGGAGGAATCGAATAATGGATGGAGGAACAATGGAGGGAGGGAGGAAGCAAGAACACTAGTGCAGTGAGCTTCAAAATGTGCTGAGCTCGGGCTCGGGGAGGAAGAAGGAGACGGCCGGGATATAAAGGGGGGACCTTTAGTCCCGGTTGGTGGCTCCAACCGGGACTAAAAGTAACTTTCCAACCCCGGGCGCAGCCACGGCCCGGGAGTAGACCTTTACTCCCGGTTGGTGGCGCCACGGCCCGGGAGTCGACCTTTACTCCCGGTTGGAGCCACCAACCGGGAGTAAAAGTATACCTTTAGTCCCGTTGGTGGCTCCAACCGGGACTAAAGGTCCCTTCCACCTCTGTCTGGCGCAGTAGCCGTTGGGGCAGGGACCTTTAGTCCCGGTTGGAGACACCAACCGGGACTAAAGGTATTTCTAGTCCCGGGCGCAAAAAATTCCGGGACTAGAGCCCATTTTGACCGAGGATCAAAGGTCTGTTCTCTACTAGTGAGGACATTTTAGGAGGGAGGTATTACCTAGCCACATCCATGTATACTATGCCCAAGGAGTCCAAATGTGCAGTCAAATTTAATTTTGGGCCAAACTTCAACTTCTTCCCACAAGATTTTGGTGGGTTAGCGATCCCTCAACCAATGAGTGAGGTGCCTCGTCAGGCGTTGAGGTGAAGATTGATGTGCCTGCAAAAAATGCTATTGCTAGAAAATCTATCTAGGCGGCCGCGGCGGCTAGCTCGCCGCACTTTAGGGGAAGAGCACGCGGGATTTTGGTGGCGCGGAAGGCCGCCGTGAGGCTCATCTCTCACCTGGCCGGCGGGGCGGAATCGTCGGTGGCATTCGCATCCATGTCGGTGGATGAAATTTACTAATGGGAGAAGAAGGGACAAAGAAGTGTTGATTTCATGGGCTGAATGGGCCTTGATGGACTGATGGTTGGGGCTTGTGGGCCTGAATGGACAAATGAACGTGAGAATCATATCCTCCCCACCCAACCAACCCCCCCCCCCCCACACACACACACAAAAGTCTATTTTACATCTTAAACTAGCACATGGGAGTCCAAAATTTTTCGTCAAACTCTGAAATTAGATTTGAATTCTCAAATCATTCAAATTGCCTCTCTGTCTTGGTTCCAAGGAGTTTTAAAGGAACATTTATCTTTTCAGTTAAAACAATCTAGTAAACATTTGAAAAAGATTTTTAAACAGTAGAAAATGCTAAAAAATTTTAAAAAAATCCTAAATATTGACATATAGATAATCCAAATGAAATACTTTGAGATCACAAAAAATATCTCTAGAAACTTCCAAAAATTATTCAGCTCTCAAAAATTAAGGAAAATGTTTAGAAAAATCTAGAATTGTCCTAAAACATTCTAGTTGATGTATAAACAAATTTTAAAAGATAACAACAAAAAATGTAAGACACAACCTGCATGAATGCATAGAAAAATGCATTTAATACTAATGAATGTTGCATCCATGTTGGTTGCATCATATATTGTTGTCGCACGTTTACACATGGATTAGAATGTTTTAGATGATCTTCAAAAATTTTCTAGATATTTTTCTCTATTTTCCAAGAGCATATGGTGTGTAGTTTTTGACACTATGGATTAATTTCTCACTTGGTATTCACTTAAGAGTTTTCCTTAGCCCAGCACTTTCGTTTGGAGGAGTTAATGTGTTAGTTTACGTAAGAAAGACTAATTTTTCCATGTGAGTTGCGCCTTGATTTCAAGAACTTTATTATTTTAACCTCTATTTTGACATTAACTATTTGGATTGTATTTTGAAGAATTTTATAAGAAAATTTGCAAATATTTAAAATTTAAGAAATTTTTTTAACAATTTGCATGACATGATTTGGGGTTAATAGCATCTTTTATTTCTTTTATTTTTCTTTCATTCATTTATTTTTCCTTTAGCTAACAAAGTCTAGAACAAGGGTGGATGGTGGGTTTGGATTAAGAAACAAGGGTACAATCATAGTCTGGAATGGATTCCAAGAGATTTCCATTGAGCACTTAAATAGGGAAGCAAACAAAGTGGCACATGAGCTAGCTAGGCAAGCTATGATTTCTAGAACAAATTGTATCTGGGACGATGATCCCCCTAGTTTTATTCTTCATTTATTATCAGACGATGTAACTATTTTCAATCAATAACGCTTGCCTCAGGGCTATAAAAAAAAAGACAATTGGCTTTCAAAGAGGGGCAAGGACACACGTCACACACCCATCTCCCATATTATTTGTCTTTTTGTGAAAATGATAACTATATTTTTTCGATGGTGGCATTCTATTAAAGAAACATAAATATATTTGTATTTGTTTGATATTGGATACCAATATTTATTTATCAAGTATCTCTTTTGAGGAAACTATATATTCATCTAGTATCTTACTACATTGGTTTTAAGAAAACCGTCACCACATGCAACCTAGAGGACCAAGAAATTAATTAGCATGTTAATCGAAGAAAATAAAAGAAGTGACCGTTGAATTTTATGATGTTCTAACGACTTAGGTCAAACAAATAAGGAACAGGGTGATCATTTGCTGGGGCCTAATGTGATCTTCAAACCCAACAACCCTTTCGTTGCCTGTTCATGGCGATCATTGGTGAACAGGGTGAAGAGTCACCCACGATCAGACAAGAACCTCTACCTCAAAGCAGAGATACTGAATAGCTTCACGAGAAACCCAGCTACTTCGGTCGTGACAACAACACAATACTACCCAAAGTTGTGGCCACGCCCTCTTCTTTTCTTTTCCCTTTTGTCTTTCCCCCTACCTTCACATGCACCTTAATTATTCGGCTGCGAGACCACGTTAATTACATCTCACACATCAACCTGAAGTTGTTGCACCTCCTAAAATTTAATCTCTTTCACATCAGATGTTTGGACACTAATTTACACTCCCTGTAGGTTGGTAAAGAAAATCGTTTTGGACAAGGTTTTGGTTAAAATTGGAAATATAAATCATGAATAACTTTTAAGTCGTTGAGTTTGAAAATTGTGAAAACCACGTGAATAGATTTGTCTTCAAAACTACTTTCATAAAAATATACGTATATCACTTTTAATAAATGTTTTACAAAAATAAGAAGTCAAAATTATGCTTTGGAGACCGTGTCGTTGCCCAAAACGACTTCTTTTAGCAACCTGGAGTGAGTATTAAATATAGACTAATTACAAAACTAATTGTATAGACTGAGACTAACTTGCGAGAAGAATCTATTATTAAGCCTAATTAGTCCATTATTTCACAATGTGGTGCTACAATAGCATGTGCTAATAAGGGATTAATTAGGCTTAATATATTCGTCTCTCGAATTAGCCACAACTTCTGCAATTTGTTTATAATTAACTCATGTTTAGTACTTTTAATTAGCATCCGAACATTCGATATGACACATACTAAATTTTAGCCCCTAGATCCAAACACTTTACTCTAATCATATGCATGCTTCTCTCTTTTTCGGCCATACATTTATCAAAACCCCTTGTCTCAGAAAGAGCACATGTCCCTTTTAACGAGGAACAATCAATCGATATTAAATCTATATTTATAGAAAACCAATATCATCATTTATGTCTAATAGATTTATTGTAAAAATATATTGCATTTTTATATATTGGTTTTCCAAATGAGCCAATCAATCACTGGTTTAACTATATTTACAAGCGAATTGAGCCTAGCTCGGTTGGTTAGGTTCATTTTGGTGGAACCTGTCCACCTGTGTTTAAGTCATCGACTCGGTACGGGTGCTCGCATTTTTCTGCCAGCATAGTCTTTTAGATGTGCTCAAAGGAGTTTGCCTGTGTGTTGTAGGTGTTTGCGTCAGTATTCGTGTAATTCGATTCACAAAAAAGAGTATTCGTGTAATTCGCAAAAAAACTATATTTACAAAAGAAATAGTATCATCATTTATATTTTTAAACACATTTACTATACAAATATATTGCAAGACGAATTTAATAATATTATTCCAATCTCATAAATAATAGCAATATTTGTATATACTTTGTTAAATTTGAGATTAGTTGATGACTCTTTTAAAAGAGAAATGTAGTAGGTATATGTATGTATATGTATATATACTCCTCTCACTTTGTGATGTGCCACACCACATATTACAACAAACTGATCGACAAATGCTACGTGCAGCAGGCCTATTTGCTCCGGCCGCCGCCGCGCCGTCAGCTATGGCGCCGGCCAACAATGCTTCTAGCGGCGGCAACGAAGGAGAAGCGAGGTACCCGTTGAACGCCGAGTCGTACCGCCTGCTGTGCAAGATCGGGAGCGGCGTGAACGCGGTGGTGTACAAGGCCGTGTGCCTGCCTCTGGGCTCGTCGGCGTCGGCGGTGGTGGCCATCAAGGCGATCGACCTGGAGCGGTCGCGCGCCGACCTCGACGGCGTGCGGCGGGAGGCCAAGGCCATGGCGCTGCTGTCCCACCGCAACGTGCTCCGCGCGCACTGCTCCTTCACCGTCGGGAGCCACCTGTGGGTGGTGATGCCCTTCATGGGCGCCGGCTCGCTGCACTCCATCCTGTCCCACGGGTTCCCCGGCGGCCTGCCGGAGCCGTGCGTCGCCGTCGTGCTCGCCGAGACGCTCCGCGCGCTGTGCTACCTCCACGGGCAGGGCCGCATCCACCGCGACATCAAGGCGGGAAACATCCTGGTGGACTCGGACGGCGCCGTCAAGCTCGCCGACTTCGGCGTCTCGGCGTGCATCTACGAGACCATGGGCATCAACGCGTCGGCGTCGGCGGCGAACGCGGCGGGGCTGGGGATCGGCTCGTCGGCGTCCTGCTGCTTCAACGACGTGGCGGGGACGCCGTACTGGATGGCACCCGAGGTGATCCACTCCCACGTCGGGTACGGCATCAAGGCCGACATCTGGTCGTTCGGCATCACGGCGCTGGAGCTCGCGCACGGCCGCCCGCCGCTGTCGCACCTGCCGCCGTCCAAGTCGATGCTGATGAGGATCACCAGCCGCGTACGGCTCGAGGAGCAGACCGCCGCCGTGAGTAGCAAGAGCAAGAACAAGTTCTCCCGAGCGTTCAAGGACATGGTGTCCGCCTGCCTCTGCCAGGAGCCGGCCAAGCGGCCGTCGGCGGAGAAGCTCCTCCGCCACCCGCTCTTCAAGGCATCCGGCCGTCGCTCCAGGGACTTCCTCGTCCTCAACGTCCTCGCCGCCGTCCCGAGCATCGAGGAGCGGTGCAGCAAGGACGAAGACGACGCGGGGAATGATCTCTGCGGGTGTGTCGGCGGCGGCGCCAGGGGCGACGCCGCACGCTGCGTGTTGCCGTGCCGACGCCACGCCGACGACGGCGGCGGCGGCGTCAAGAACCGACGGATCAGCGGCTGGAACTTCAACGAGGACAACCTCGAGTTCGATCCGACGACCGAGGACCCGGCGGCGCGGGCGGAGAAGAGGTGCTTTCCATTCCAGGACCCTGTGGAGCTGGACGACGACAGTGACTCCACCGGAGATGGAGATAGACGGCCGCCGCCGCATGGGGATGGCGATCAAGATCACGGGAAGGCGGCGGAGGCTATAGGGTTTAAGGAGCAACAGCAAGTGGTGACTCGGCAGCTGATGGCCGTCCTGCAGAGCCTGGAGGTGCAAAGGGACATGGTGACGCACGTTTTGGAACGCACCGCCGCCGGTTGCTTCGATGTCGTCGACGTCTGTGGTGTGAGCGTGACAGCTCCAGCTCCAAGGGAGGAGGTGGAGAGGGAAGAGATGTTGCTTGGGTACGTCCGGCAGCTGGAGCACAGGGTGGAAGACCTGAGGAAGGAGGTCGAGGAGGAGATGGCATGGAACGCCCGGCTGGAGAAGATGCTGGACGAGAGAGTTATCATTAGCGACGGTGAGAAGAAGTGAAGTCATCTCATATGTCAGCTGGGAGCAGCTGATGCTGTTCCGGTTTCGCTTGCTCATCAAGGTCAAGTGCATTTTACAGTATCACCCCATCCGTTCTAAATTGTAAAGAGTTCTAAATATAAGTAGTTTTACTGTACATCTAGTTATATGTAATGTCTAGATATATTGTAATTTTAATGTTACACGACACTGATTATCGTGGTAGGATTTATGTTTTCTATGGACTTTGCGGGAATAGTGCTTCTTAGGAGTTTGGTGGCTCTGATGGCCACCGTGAGGTCCATGGCTTTAGAGGCCGCGAGGGAGGAATTGTAGCTTGATTGCATCCATGGACGAAATTATGAATATATATATGAGAATCCATTTATAGGAAGGAAAGAAGGGGAAACAAGTTTAAGGGCTCGTTCGTTTACCCTTAATCCAGGTGATCAAATATAGTATAAATTATTAGCACAACATTCATAGTTGGAATAATTCCAGGGGTCCATTCTGTGGCAACCAAACAGGCTCTTAAGGCCCCTTTAAAATACATGGATTTTTTTTTGAAGGAAAAATACATGGATTTTACAGGACACTAACATGACTCCTAATTGCCAAAACTTAAATTCAAAAAAAAAAATTGTCAAAACTTAATTAGATTGCTAACTCAAATGGAAGCCTCCGTTGGGAGGTAAGGAAAAGCTGACTTTTCCAAGAATTTAAGCCTTTCCAAACAACGCCGTAATGATACTCTGTGTTGATGTAAAAAAACTAAAAACACATTTTACAAAGATGGTTGCTTTAAGTGAAGAACTACGACAAATGTTTGTTTTTTATAAGTCAAGAAGTACAACAATGATGAATGTAAATCAAGCCAACTCTTTTGAATCCCGGAGCAAGGCCGAGGACGCCGACTCGGCAGAGAGCTTGGAATGGCCGCCGGTTGTCATCGTGGTCGTGGAAGAGGAGCTCTGAACGGACAATGCGTCGACAGCACGTCCAGTGACGGCGAACTCAGACACCGTCCTGTACATCTGAGGCGTGAGCTCTGGAAGCCTGGCGTCCTCCGACTGCAGAACATGCATGGCCTGCGCGATGGACGGCTGCTCGCTCTGGTCAGGATGCGCGCACCACAGTCCGACGACGAGCACCCTCTCCATGCACCTGTCATCAGCCTCGTCGCCGGCGGCCCTCAGCCGCTTGTCCGCCGCGTCAAGGATCGTGTTCCGGCCGTACAGACCCCACATCCACTTGACCAGGACGAAGTGCGCACGTCCTTCAAGCAGGATCACGGGGCACCGGCCGGAGACGATCTCGAGGAGGACGATGCCGAAGCTATAGACGTCAGAGTAGGTGCTCGGGTGGTGTGTGTTGACGAACTCCGGGTCGATGTACCCTGCCGTGCCCATCACGGCCTTGGTGGTGTGCCACCGTGCGCCATGGTCACCGAGCCTGGCCAGACCAAAGTCGCCGAGCCTGGTGCTGAGGGACTCATCATCCAGCATGATGTTGCTGGGTTTGATATCGCCGTGCACGATGCACTGCTCCCACTCCTGATGGAGATACCGCAGCGCGGATCCCATGCCAAGGATGATGTGGTACCTTTGTGGCCACGTCAGAAAGCTCTCGCTGTTGTGGAGATGCTTGTCGAGGCTGCCTTTGGCCACAAGTTCGTAGACGAGCAGGAGGCCGTTGCGACGACTATCGTACCAGCCCAGGAGCTGCACAAGGTTGCGATGCTTGAGCCGGCTGATGATCCTCACCTCTGCTTCGAACTCCTTTCTCCCCTGCTCGGATGACTCCGGTGATAACATCTTGATGGCCACCGGCACCAGGCGCTCTTCGCCGGCAACGTCGAGCATACCCCGGTAGACGCTTCCGAAGCCACCACGACCAAGCTTGTAATCCTCGGCGAAGTTGTTGGTGGCGGCAGCCGGCTCGCGGTATGTGTATCGCTTGGGGCCGCTAGCAGCCACTGCTTTCTCCAGCTCGATCCTATCATCTTCCTCTTCATAGTCGCTATCGCCGCTTCCTCCGGATCTTCGTTTCTGCCCACAGCTGCACATGCCAACACAAAGAGAAGAGGCACTAGCACAGAGACCAGCAGAATGGTACTATTCTTCTGGGGTTGCTTTTGCTGCTTGGGTTCCATAGTGGAGCTGAATGACCATGATAATATCTGGCTCTGGCCGTTCAGCTCGCTTATCACACCAGTCGCCGCTGAGAAGCCCACGGCAACAAACTGTGGCAGGTAGTTCCTCAGGTCAACTGACATGCTGACGTTGTACAGTTTATCGCCGATCTTGACATGGACAGCTAGCAACTGAGTGACATTGTCGTAGCTGACAGTGGCCATCTTGGTGAAATTGGACGTCAGGGTGTTGGGCCAAGTGGTGTTGGTGTATTCCGTGGAGACGAGGTTATTGACGTCGATTCCAACATGGTCGTTGCTTGGATCGTAGTATTCCGCATTCTGAAAGGTGTCAAACTCGACTAAACTGGATCCGCATATAGTCCAGAGTCGATGGTGCCACGAACGAATATATTGGAGGATTTGCTTGATCAGAGCAAGATGAGTCTCACACGGATTGTGCATATGAAGACACACCTGCTAGACAGCATAGGCAATATTGGGTCTGGTGAAAGTCAGGTAGTGCAGAGCACCAGCAAGAGCACGATATAGTCGATGCCATCAGACACTGGGGCACCATCACCGGAAACTTTGGCATGAGTGTTGGCAAGTGTAGTGCAAGGCTTGCAATCAGACATACCAGCCCGAGCAAGGATGTCAACCATATACTGCTGCTGAGAGAGAAAAAGTCCACCAGCACGATGGGCAACAGAAACTCCCAGGAAATGATGCAAAGGGACAAGATTCTCCATCGAGAACTCCTAGGTCAAAGCAGCAATAATGCAACAAAGTAGAGACTCAAACGAAGTAGTGAGCACAATATCATTGACATAGAGCAGTAGGTATGCCGTGTCAGCACCATGGCGATAGACAAGAAGGCAAGTGTCAGACAAGGCACCAACAAACCCCATGGAGAGAATATGAGAGGCGAACCGATTGTACCACACACGGGGCGCCTTCTTCAGACCATAAAGAGACTTATTCGGGCGACAGACATAACCGAGGTGAGTGGAGTAGAGAAATCCAGACGTCTATTCATAATACATGGTCTCCTGCAGAGTTCTATGAAGAAAAGCATTTTTCACATCCAACTAATGAATAGGCCACTGATGAGATAATGCAACGTTAAGAACCGTTCTGACAGTCGTTGGCTTAACCACTGGGCTGAAGTCTCATCATAGTCAATATTGAGGCACTGAGTAAACCCCCAAACAAACCCAACGTTCCTTGTACCAATCAGGAGAGCCATAAGAGGTGAACTTGCGGTGATAAACCCACTTGCCCGTAACCACATTGGCACCATGAGGGCAAAGAACCAGATCCCAAGTATCATTGTGCTACAGAGCAAGGAACTCCTCAATCATAGCATCCCGCCAATTAGGATTGGCAAGAGCACCATGATACATCTTCTGAATGGGAGAGAGCGTCATGGCATGGAGGTTGAGCCGTTTCACTGGAAGATGGAAGCCCCGCTTGCCGCGAGTGTCCATGACATGGTCATTAACAGGCGGAGTAACTAGGACATCCATTGGAGGAAGAGGATCGCGCGACGACAGTGCCACAGGTGAGTTGCTGGGAGCAACTGGCGTCATAGAGGTGATTGGTGGAGAGGTGGCCGTGGTGCTGTTGACAGCAGCCGGAGACGAGTCAACCGAAGCAGCAGATCCGACCAGATGGTGGGCGCCGGAGGTGGGTTAAGGGCCACATCAATGCTGGCAACATTTCGGCCCTTCCTATCAGGATGTGGCGTTGTTGAAATCATGACCATTGTCATACTGGACGGATTTGATAGTGCACCCAAACTGTGTGGCAACATAAGCAAAATTTTGTGCATGGTAGGAAACGTTTCAGACATTAAACGAAGAGGGAACATCTGCCATGAAGCCAATGGCTCCCTGCATCCTGACGGTGGCAGGTGCGATGACGGCGCAGGCATGTAGCGGTGACTTCGTTCCTTTCCATTTCCCTTGACCGGAGCAGGGGAGGGAGGCTCATAGGCTCATCAGAGGACATGTCTGAATCCGAGAACGAGAGCCTATCCTGCCTCACCCAAGAGGAGCCGGTGACAGGTGACTCATGGGTAGAGCGGATGGCCACACAGTGCCCAAACAACGCGGGGGGGCAGAGCGGTGACAATGGTTGCCGCCAGTGGCGGTAGTGCTTGGGGGAAGGGCTTGTTGATCCCCAGAGCCCTAGGACGGAGAACCATGGAGGCCATTCATGGGTGTGCGGCAAGGTGAAGGAAAGGAGGAGCAGAGACGTGACACTTTGGGGCCGCAGCGGCCATCAAGTTTTTTTGGGGTGGGGGAGGGGGGGGGGGGGCGGACTTGGGGGGCGGAGTGGCCACCGACGACGGGAGAGGCTCGAATGTAAAAACACAATTTACAAAAGATGCTTGCTTTAAGTGAAGAACTACACAACGGATGATTGTTTTAAAGCGCAGAAGTATAACCGTAATGAAAGTGCAAAAAGTAATTTTACAGATCAATATATAATACACAAAGACGCCCATAGACCGTAGGCAGTCCATACAATGATGATGAATGCAAATCAAGCCAACTCTTTTAAATCTCAAAGCAAGGGAGAGGATGCTGACTCGGAAGAGATCTTGGAGTGGGCACCGGTTGTCGCCGTGGTCGCGGAAGAGGAGCTCTGAACGGACAAGGCGCCGATAGCACGTCGAGTGACGGCAAACTCGACACCGTTCTGTACATCTGCGGTGTGAGCGTCGGGAGCCTAAGCGTCCTCCGATCGCAGGGGCGTGCATGGCCTGCTCAATGGATGGCCGTTCGCTCTGGTCAGGATGCGCGCACCACAGCCCAACAACAAGCACCCTCTCCATGCACCTATCGTCGGCCTGGTCGCCGGACCTCAGCCGCTCATCCGCCGCGTCGAGGATCGCGTTCCGGCCATAGAGGCCCCACATCCACTTGACCAGGACAAAGTGCGCGCTGCCTTCTAGCAGGATGACGGGCACCGCCGGAGAGACGATCTCGAGGAGGACAACACCGAAGCTGTAGACGTCGGAGTAGGTGCTCGGGTGGAGCGTGTTGATTTAACTCTGGGTCGATGTACCCGCCGTGCCCATCACGGCCCTGGTGGTGTGCCACCGTGCGCCGTGATCGCCGAGCCGGGCCAGGCCAAAGTCGCCAAGCCTGGTGCCGAGAGACTCGTCCAGCATGATGTTGCTTGGTTTGATGTCACCGTGCACCACACACTGCTCCCAGTCCTGATGGAGATACCGCAGCGCTGATCCCAAGCCAAGGATGATCTGGTACCTATGTGTATGTACCTTATAAATCAATCAGTGGTTGGTAAAAAGAGATAAAGCTAGCATGAAAATTCTCACAACAATCATAATCATCCAACCATTTATCAAAGTAACCATTTATGCTATTATGAAAAAATAATATAAGAAACATTCTAAATTTTTATCTAAGAAATTAACCACCTCTAAAAAAACCTAATAAAGTAACCCTTGCTATTATAGTTTTTTTAAATACTTCTATAATCTTCTCAATATACTCTCTTCTATCATTATTACTAATATAGAAAAAATGAGCTATGTTATGCGTGCATACATGTCACTATACAAATCATATACATATATGCATGAAGTGATGACCATTTCGATTTACAAGTCAAATACATAGCACCGGTGTTAAGTGTCACCATTGCTTCACATATATATGCATATATATATATTTTAATTTCAAACACACGTAGCTTAATTAAGCTAAAATTTCAACTAAACACATATCAAGTAAACAGACCATCAAAACGTATCAGTAAACATGGAGGATCAATGCAAGGAGAACAAATATGGATAAAATTACATATAGAGTAATTTTGTAACTATAAAGTATTACAGCGAGACAAAATTTAAGAAGGATGTACCGTATTTGTATAAACCTTGTCAAATTAGAGGACCAAATATAAACAACTTCAATAACCATGGGGCCAGATATGCTGAGTTTTTTTTTCTTTTTGGAAAGGTCCCGAACATGGCCGCCATAGGAAAGAAATATATGCGCAAGCGGCGCAAACAACTTTCCAGGTTTGATAGACTGTCAAGTTAGACGAAAAGAACTAAACGGACTACTCACAATCTAGGGGCACAACAACAGGCTATAACAACTTGGCCCCCCAAAACAACCGATGCGCAACTTCTAACTTCCTAAGCCGACTTCCAAACATTTTCTTTTGACACCCAGAACACCTCTGTCTAGTAGCCACCGTCTTGCACTCCCCAACACTATGGCAACTCACTGACCCGGAATGATATGCTGAGTTTATCCATGAATCTTCTAGCACTTACTCTATCCGTTCCATAGAGATTGTCGTTTTTGACTTTAGAGTATCGTGTTTGACCATTCGTTTTATTCAACTTTTTTTTATAAATCATAAAATAAATAAATTATTATTAAAGTATCTCTGATGATAAAATAAGTCATAATAAAGTAAATAATATTTGTATATTTTTTTTTAATAAGACGAATGGTCAAATAAAATGGTACGGAGTCCAAAACGATAATCTCAATTTGACGGAAGGAGTATATATGTCGCTTATTATTACTAGTCTATCATTCTATCTATGCATGATAACTATTAAGGTTGGTTAAATGTGTTGTTTACCTTTCTGGCCACGTCAAAAAGCTCTCGCTGTCGTCGCTGCTGTGGAGATGCGTGTCGAGGCTGCCTTTGGCAACCAACTCGTAGACGAGCAGGAGGCCATTGCGACGACTGTCGCACCACCCCAAGAGCCTCACAAGGTTTCGATGCTTGAGACGGCTGATGATCCTCACCTCCGCCTCGAACTCCTTCCTCCCCTGCGCCGACGACTCCGATGAGAACATCTTGATGGCCACCGGGCGCTCTTCGCCGGCAACGGCGAGCTTACCCCTGTAGACGCTTCCGAAGCCACCGCGGCCGAGCTTGCCATCTTCGGCGAAGTTGTTGGTGGCGGCCGCCAGCTCGCGGTACGCGTATCGCCTAGGGCCGCTGGCAGCCACCCCTCTCTCGAGCTCGGCCCTGCCGTGTCGTTGTTCTCCTTCACAGTCGCTGTCACTGGTTTCTTCATTTGGTGGTTTCTTGTGTCGTTTGTGCCGCCATACAAGCACGGCTGCACATGCCAAGAGAAATACTCCTAGCACAGCCGCTAGCACGGAGATTGCTATCTGGGTTCGTCCTACTGACCTCGTCTTGGGATGCTGGACGATTTCAGGTGACTGATGAAGCGGCGGCGGCGGCGGCGGCGTGGCGGTGGCGGTGGCGGTGGCGGCGGTGCTTGTGCTACCTGTTCCTCCTGCAGAGTGGATATGAATGACCATGACAGTATCTGGTGCTGCTCGCCACCACCGCCAGTCGCTGCCGAGAAGCCGATAGCGACATGCTCGGGAAGGTAGCTCTTGAGATCAACAGTGGCGTTGACGTAGTAGGACGTGTCGCCGTTGATGGTGAGCTCGACGGCCAGGAACTTGGTAACATTCTCGTACCTCACGGTTGCCATCATCTTGTAACCGGACGTGAGGTTCCTGGTCGGCGAGGTGGTGTCGGTGACCGCCGTGGAGTTGAGGGAGTTGACGTCGATGGCCACGTGGTTGCCGCTGATGTCGCCGTATAGCTGCTGGTTGCGACAGGTGTCGAACTCGACGGCGACCATGGTGGTGTCGCCGGTGCCGTTGGTGGCGTACGGGAGGAGACCCAAGCTGCCCCCGAAGCTCCCGGGGGGTATACCAGACCCGACATGATGGCTGAGCAAGAAGGCCATCCCGCCGTCGCCGGGAGTGACGATGGTGCTCGCGTCGTCCAGAGTGATCTGGAACTCGAAGCTAGTGGTGAAGCTGGCCATCTCGCCGGTAGCTGCGTCCCATAGCCGCACTGGCTGCGTGTACGTGGCCCGGCCGGTGCTGTCGTTGGTCCTCCTGCTCCGCCGCGTGAGCTCAAGCGTGTCTAGAGTGAGGTATGCGTCGCCGGTGCAGTATATCAACCGATCGAGATCAGCTAGGCTTTCGGGTTGAGAGAAGCTGAGGTTGAAGGAGAGGCAGCCAGCGCGAGGGACATGGGTACAGTCGTAGAGGATGATGCACAGGACGGCGAGGAGGGAGGCACGGCAGCTCGACATCGTATACGTGTACTCTATTGGAAATGTTTGCTCGATCGATCGATCTCAGAAGAGAGCTGAGGTTTATTTCCAAGGACATAATAATGATCTCTCAAGTAGAGGATGATGCTAAGGAAGCCTACGACAGCGTCTTTCACGAGGACGCCGACCCCTCACATAGAGGGGCTTTGCGGGTGCTCATGCTGGGAGAGGGCCCGAGGCGATCGGGTCGTCGCCCAAGCCGCGCGAGCCCCCGCGTCTGAACGACGGTGTTGGCTAGGTAGTTGATTAGAGAGTAATAACTAATATTGCCCTCTGATAGGGTGGACGGAACCGATTGTATAACAGTTTTTCCCCTATTGTATCATCAGTGGCGTGTCGTTGTAATCCGTACTATTTTTCTTCTTAATGACAAAGACGCGCGCGTTCGAGGAAAAAAAAGTGCTGTAAGCATATATGAAATGGATGCACGTATACTAAGCTAGCTACATACTATACTAGTACACACACCGACCCCATGATGTGTGGATATGTTTCTCTGAGACGACTTCGACGACACAGTGCTATTATATTCCTTGCACCAGAAGTTACACGGCTGTCGTCGTCTCACAAAATCAACCAGCTGGTAGTTACCATTTGATGGCTTGGTCTCGTTACAGCACAACTTGCTAAGAACGTACGTACCTGAAAAGGACCAAAGAATATCGAAGGGCCAATGCAATTTCTGGTTAGAGCTTGGGGCGGCCAAGTATATATGTCTTGTGGAAATAAAATAACCCTGGAGCCCTTCGGATACACCCAGTCGCCGACATTTGAAAAATATTTTGGCGTGAGTCTTGCGAGCCTGAGTCTTCGGGGCAAGTTTGATACATCTCACTTTCACTGGTGGATCATTTGTTATACTAGTTCACCGACCCATGCTCTCGCACGGGTTAGAATCTTAAGAGACACTAACTAATAAAAAATACGTATATCAAATATTTTTTTCTCTCTTCACTATAATAGCTATAATAGGTACTCTATAATTTACATTCAATTTTGATAATATATCAATTATTGATTTTTATGTCCTTTCCGTCCATATCTATCGGTTTTTTTCTTTTGAAAGCACCTCTGTTTATCAATATACATTTAGTTGAAACATTTGCTTAAACTATGTTGACTTTAGTTGTAATCTATATTTTGACGACATGGACCTGAATTTTGATTCTTTTTCCAAAGTTTTGAGCTGATTAATTTCTCATATACAACAACTATTATTTACGATGGTGATTATAGTCGGACAATTTGACGGTAAAATGTTTTAGGCTTTTTAAGAATTTTATGATCATCTTTTTTATTTCTAGCGGTTTCATTAATAATATTTTCTAGGATTATTTTTTTTTCTAGCATGATACATGTTTAGTTGAAACATAGACTTAAATATATAGACTCCTATCACTTTATGTAATATCATAAAAATCTCTATTTTAACTTTCAGCTTTTGGTCATGTGTTAATTTGAAATTCCAATGCTTACTATATCGCTAATTCAAATTTTTCATTTTTTATTTTATTAAAAAATTTTAGGTCCTAGGCTACCCTTAAGTTCTTAGAATACCCATAATAGTTGTTTCAGCTTGCACCATGGCACTTAAGATGTGGAATATTTTATATTGCATTGATATTGATTTAGTGAACAAATAATACTTGGAATTATAATACTTTTATTCATATGATATAATGTTCCAATCAAATTGTTTATTCTTTTTTTTCAAGACGATAACAACTTGCAAAATTTCTTATCATGAGTATTAATATGACTTAAAGTGAAGCGTAAGGGTCATTGGTATATCATTTGCTAATGATATGTGTCCTTAGTCTACATAGTGGAACATAGCTTTATGCATAGTTTTAACTTAATATTGGTATGGATGTTAAATTATTTCATAATAGCATATATTAGCATTTACATATAGATTTGATAGCTTTGTGTTATTTTTTTTACAACGGTTGAGATGGATAATTTTGGTGTAAATTATATAGGTAGCCTGTATGGTTAATTTGGATGCAAACATAAAGGGTCCGGATAAGTTATAAAAGAATTATTATGGGATTGGTTATTTATCTTTAATATTTGTGGGGGTTTGAGTTTTTTCATATAGGCTTTCTCGATAACTCCCTGAATCATGGTCTCCTAATTTTCTAGCATCATTAACATGTAAACTCGAAGTAAGCTAACGAATTTATATTAAATTGAACAAAAATATTATAAGTCAAGGTCAATAAGGGTTATTATATCAAGAAGACTTATTGATTCAAAGTAATCTAAGACTCTTGCTTTCATTTTTCACAATTCTTTCCCTGGTCTAATCTCACCTATAAGCAGTATGGAATAAGTACTCGGAGAAGACAAACTAAACAGTAGTTATGGGATGGCAAAATTCAGTACATCTTAGGAGAGAAATTAAATTGTAATTTTCGGATCTAGCAAGATGGCCACACCTTTAGTCTGTAGATCTATCCAGCTGGTGCCAATGTCGATGTAGATGCCATGAACGCAGCACATGAACGCACCGGGGCTAGTGTTTGTCCCGTGCTTATGGGCTTATGGCCGCCCTCTTGCAGATACTTGCCGATTACAGATCGATGCGTGAATGACCTGCTTGCTCGCTAGACGTATACAGGTGCAAGTCAGGCAGATGCATGCATCACACAACACGTCTTTTTTTCTCACCATAGAAGGATGTCGACGTGAAGCCATCGCCTTTTTCTTGATCCCTTGCTACTGGTTCCTATCGTCCTTCTTAGTCCTGGCTCCTAGCCCTGATGCGGCTGATTTGAGCTGTGAGGCCACCGTTCCTCTCCATGGAACAATGCCGACGGGTGCATTCCGGCATCAGTGCCGGATTAGGGGAGGTGCACCCGCCAGCCGGTGCCACGGCCTGAGCCCTAGGACCTGTAGCCATGGGACGGTGGTAGAAAAAATAATATGTATTTATTATTTTCTTTCTTTCTTGGTATGTGGATTTGTTTGTTAAAAAAATATGATTACGTAACTTCTTTAGATAATCTATTAACCAACCTTGAACGACGTGTGGCTGTACCAAATGTTTTATATATTAATAGAAACAACAGATATTTTAGATATATATTCTATTAAAGTGCCGTATCTAATGTTTTATATATTAATAAAGAAATAGAAATAGAAATAGAAATAGTAGATATTTTAGATATATATTCTATTAATAACTAACAAAATGTGACGTCGGTAGGTATAGCTTTTTCCGCACAATGAAAGTGTTTTCCTCCCCAACAATAATATTTTAGGCTACTTTTTTTATAATAGTGGTAAAGGTGGGTAATTTTCTAGAGAAACAATAGATCCAATGGTCGTGGACACTTGAGTCTTTGGATTTGATGGTTGGATGTTTCTAATTAATGTGGAAATTTTTAGTATTTTATCTTTTTTTTCTAGCGCGTCTGGTGAGAATTGGAGCCTCCGTTGAGGCCTCTAAATAGTAATAGTAAGATAGCTTTAGTTCCATAAAGTAGCTAGCTTCACCAATGAAGCTAAAGGTGTTTTCATAAATGTTTGGTAAAGATAGCCATGAGAAGGCTAGGAGGAGAAGCTAGTATTTTCAGCTTCACTTAGAGACACGCGCATGTGAGAGAAGCTGAAAACAACTTCTACGGAGAAGCTGTTTCCAAAGATCGAGCATGTTTGGTAGAGAAGCTGATCGAAAAACAACTTTGTCAAGTTGTTTCATAAGCACTATGAGCCCGAGCCAAATGTTGATGAATAACAGGAGTGATCCAAGACTTCTCATGTAGCGATCGAGTCAGACAAGTCAACAGGATCACATGCAGTAGAGCCATCAAAACCAAAATGACGACGCTAATATGGCCATATAGAATGACTATCCCAGAGCAAAGTGCCAACTCGTGTTGTACCAAAATCTTCAGCCAAATAATTTCAATCAATCCACTTAATTAAAAGGACATGCACTGACAAAAAAAAACACTGCAAGAATATTTCCATGCATTTGGTAACCTATTCGGTTTACCAGTCGGTTTGGGGGTGCTAAGGAGAAGACATACCAACAAGGGACAGTACACCAGATAAAATTGATAAGGGACTTGTCCACAACTAACTACTAAAAGCTCAATATCATGATAAGAGACAATGGAATGAGGCATACTATGGACTATGTATATGTGCTGCACGTAGAGCTTAGCAACACTGAAGGCAGTATAAGGATGACTGAGTGGCACAAAATGACTATACTTAGAGAATTTGTCAACCACACAACAATAATGCAATCTTTTCCTCCAGACCTACTAAGAAGTCCCTCATCAAAATCGAGGGACGCCATGTGTCATGCTTGGGTAGGAATATGAAGAGATTGAAATAAGCCAGGGTAGAGGACACTCTCAGGTTTGGCTTGTTGGCCGGCAGATGTGGCAGCTGACAACAAATTTCTTGACCGTTGATTTTAACCCAAGGTTTTTAATTTCGGTATCGCCAAAATTTCGGCCACCACTGAAATTACCGAATTTCGCGAAATTCGACCGAAATTTCGCCGAAATTTTTTTAGGGATTAGCACATGAAGTATGTTTTTTCTAAAAATTTTTGGATCTAAACAAATATTAGTATGATTTATGACTACATATCTATTAAATAGAAGAATATGCAATATAAACAATAGAAAAATATAAGATTAGAGTTATATAGCACATGTATTAGTGTATTAAAAAATTTCGGAGTTTTCTTTCGGCCACCACCGAAATTACCGAATTTCGTGAAATTCGGCCGAAATTTCGCCGAAATTTTGAACCCTGTTTTAACCCCATCCAAGCAAACAACTCTTTGCTACGTTTGTAAGTGGTGGGAATCCAGCAGACTGGCTACCAATCGCAAAACTATGAAAGGCCATAACGATTTCGGCAAGTAAAAACGAATTTGTATCGTATCCTACAGTTTATATTCTTGTAGCAAATGACACCCAGATGGAGACTAAAAGAAGGCATTGCCTAGGAGC